ATTTTGGAAGCCATCTGCCTCAAATTATTTAAACCATCGCTTTCTAAACAAAAGGAGAATTTTTCACGATCGCTAAATTTATTTTTTGATATATGAGCAACTTATTTTTCTATTTTACTGCTCAGGTTGGTTCATTTAATTCATTATTTACGCATTTATTTTAATCGTAAATTTATTTTAATTTTACGTATATATATCTTCGTAAAATTTTAGACGTGTTCCAACCATATCATTTTGGCGTTCTTTTCATTTCCATTGCTTGTTTAAAATCATTTGCCAACGAAAGACCCTGATGAAGCGTTGGCCGAAAGGTACCTAGGTCCTGCAAAAAAAAAAAAAAAAAAAAAATCATACAAAAGAAATTTATTTTCTTTAAATCATTATATTTGTTTTGTGGTATCAAAACATTATTCCAATATATATATATATATATATTAATAAAATAAAACGATTTATTATATTGGCTCGTCTTACGACTTACTTCTCTTCCTCTCGTTTTAACTTCTTTATTATATCTTATTTGTTTTTTTTCTTTTTTTTAAACTTTAATTTTTATTCTTATTTTTTCTTAACTACACATTAAATGTTTACAATAGAGTAATTAAAATGGTTACACTATTTACAAAAAACTCCTTACAGGCTATTTAAAGCCAGAAAATATTCAAATATACTAGTCTTACTAATTAACCCATAGTTAGGGGGAGAGGAAGTGGATTCATGCCTCATCAGAATTTGATAAACAAAAGAAATTATAATGTGGATATAAAGTGGGGGATCATTTTTATATTACAATCAATATATAAACTGATCCCTCAAATTGCGGCCACAGGAGTTTCTATACATTTATATTCCAGAGAATGTAAATAAACCTAAAACACATAATGTGTAGCTAATCAGTATTTCATCGATTGATCGATTCGTTTTAACCTCTTATTGATCCTTTGCAGATAATTTAAAGACAGAAAATATTCATATATATATATATATATATATATATACAGCTGGGACAAGAGGTGGTTCCACGCTCCTCAAAACCTCCTGCTCAGAGGACTTGCTGCCGGACGTAGTTTATCGTCTTACCCAGGATGTTTAAAGTTTTGTTTGCCTTGTATTGAAAATTTCACGATTTCATCAACTGTGTATTTCAGTTAATTTTAATTTAATTCTTAAATCTGTGGACCCCGAAAAGAAAGCATTTTGGTAACAATCATGATTTATCGAAAACTTTCAAGTAATGAAATAACAGATGATAGAAAAGTGCATTAGACCAGTGAAAAATGCTTTTCAGAAGTTAAGCAAAGTATTAAGACATATGGTAATTATGAATTCATTAACCGAATAGTCAATGCTGTGGTTCGTTGAAATTTATAAAATCTTTCTCTGAAAAGAAATTTTAAGGAAAATAGGTTATCAAAGTGTAGTAGCTGTTATCGCTCTTTCCAAAATGGGTTTCCTTCCTAACCTTTTATTTGAAGTAGTGTGGAACATCAACATCTTGGTTATGTCATTATTAATCTTTCGAGTTTAATGTGACGTTCATCTTAATTATTGCTCTTATTGAGAGTCCTCAAGTAATGTGTTTTCTGTCATCTAATAGAGTTCTCTCTTTGTATCTATATATCTGTCTATATCTATGAGATGAGGTTTTAGGATTACTTGCATTATTTACATTATTCAGACTGTTATCCTCATCTTCATTGCCATATTCACAACTGAGATATGTGTCCTCAAGGACAGTGGATAAAGTCATTGTTTAGCCCCAGTGACTAGACCCAAAGAGTTCTGAGTTCAATACCAGATCACAGCAGCGGTGAACCAAAAACTTAGAGATCTGAGTTAAAGGGAAATAGGTGAGATATCCGAAAGAGGCATAACATGTGGAACTAGAACAATCTATCCCTGCTGAACGAAAAAAAGGGTTCGCTTCGAAATTCCAGTCACCTGAAGAAGGCCGCGGCGTACAACGTCCGAAACGTTGTCAATATGGCAATGAAGATGAGGATAACAGCCTGAATAATGTAAATAATGCAAGTAATTATAATACTTCATCTCAGAGATATAGAGGCGGAAACGTTGTAAATATGGTAATGAAGATGAGGACAAAGGTCTGAATAATGTAAATAATTCAAGTAATCATAATACCTCATCTCAGATATATAGAGGCAGAAACGTTTTGAATATGGCAATAAAGACGAGTATAACAGTCCGAATATTGTAAATAATTCAAGTAATCATAATACCCCATCTCAGAGATATAGAGGCCGAAACGTTGTGAATATGGCAATGAAGATGAGTATAAAAGTCCGAATAATGTAAATAATCCAAGTAATCATAATACCTCATCTCAGAGATATAGAGGCCGAAACGTTGTAAATATGGCAATAAAGATGAGGATAACAGTACGAATAATGTAAATAATCCAAGTAATCATAATACTTCATCTGAGAGATATAGACACAGAAACGTTTTGAATATGGCAATAAAGACGAGGATAGCAGTCCGAATATTGTAAATAATGCAAGTAATCATGATATCTCATCTCAGAGATATATACAGATACTATTTTCTATTAGCAGATGGCAATGTACTTATTGCCTATGTACTGTCTTTAGCGATGAACACGCAAGCCGGCGACAACGTGGGGCGACAAAGTGGGGCGACAAATCAGAAGTATTGGCAGGTAAATTTCATCTGCATTTCAGCTATCGTTCCATACACATCCCTGCACTATTTCGCCATGCCATCACTTGAAATTCATTGTCTTGTTTTCTTTTTATAAGTTATTAACTAGTTTACCTGTCCCGTTAAAATTGATGGCAAGAAGGAATGTATTATAAGTAATATGTATTATATTGTAAGTAATTTTCGTTTAATCCAAATACAATTTTATAATTTAAAATAGTTCGTTGTTAACATGAATAATTAAACAGTGTACATTTTATAAACACCTAAGGAAAGATATCCGTATTTTATCGTATTTTTATTTGACATATTTACAACCAAAATTATGTTTACTGCAAAAGTTCCCAAAGACCAATATTTTTTGTGCAAACTTTGAAAGATTTTAATAATCCTTGACAGTCCGTAGATTCAATTTGTAATATTCAGAGTCATGTAGAAACAAGGTTGTCTTTTTTAAAATTAATTTAAACACACATACACACACCCACACATATATATAGTTTTAAGGTGTGCTATATTTATGGGATAAAGGGCTCAATATCAAGGATAGAGCGTATGTAAATATAAATATAAAAGTGAACATTGAAGACAAAACTAAGAGGCGGAAGGCTGTTTCATGCTGGACGTAATCGCCAGAGGCCTGACTGGCATTGCTATATATACGTATAATACGTCAAACACACACACACACACACACACACACACACACATATATATATATATATATATATATATATATATATATATATAATACTTATCGAAAACACAATTATACTTCGAAATGAAAACAATAGACAAAAACTAAAAATCCTTGAAGCATTATACATCAAACAGTTGAAACCCAACCTAAACAAAATCAATTATGGCATCTCTACAAATATTCTTAAATGTCTATAATTGATAACAGAAGCCATTGGTTTATACCAACGGCTTCCTATACTTCTACAATTCACTCTCGTGTGGTCAAGTGTGACGTCATGAGATGCGCTTGAGGATGAAATGGAACTAATGTCTTTAATTTAATTACAAAATTAAATTCGGAGCTTTTAGCTTCCATTTTTGAAACATGGTTAGAACTGTGTAGCGAAAAAAAACATATTTTAAATCAATTAATTTATAATATATATATATATATTTTAAATCAATTAATTTATAATATATATATATATATATATATATATATATATATATATATATATATATATATATATATATATATTTATACTTTTGAAGATCCACAAATCTTTTGTTTTTCCATATCTCAGCCTCTGGTGGAGCTTTAATAAAAGTGAAACTTGTTAGATTGGTAAACGTTTCCGATTTGTTCTTTATCTTATCATTCTGTCGAATTCGAATCCATATTTGAGCTGTATGCGACCCCAATTAACATAAAGAATAGACTGACGTATTCCCATGGATTATTAAATGAATTACATTCAACATTTGTGCTTACATGGGACGAAGGAAAAAAACAATGCATTTTGACCTTTTTTTTTCCCCATGAGCAGGTTACGCAGATCAGAATCGATTTTTTCGCATTTCTGTGTGCCTCAAGCCTACTTTTACCGGATTGTCCACGCTTTGGAATTCTTTTTGTTACAAACAAGAAAAATGATTTCGATTAAGGCGTTGCTTCATCGGGTCCTAATGATTTGTTCTAAAACCAAATTAAATTCCGAAATCGAATTCATTACGAAGATTTTAGTAGAAAATAACTACGCTCTGGTTGCTGTGCGATCGGGCAATCATTCTAAAATTGCGTAAATTTAACAAACCCAAATTGTATTGGTTCAGAAAAAGTGTCACGTCGATTTGCGGTTTACCGTGGATCGGCGAAGTTAACCCTAGATTTGTTAGGCAACTAACAAAATATGCAGCGGCATAGTTTTTCTGCCATGCCCCAAGGATCATTTTCACTTACTGTCTTATGCTGTTGGGGGCACGGTGAATATTGAGGAATCGGAGAGCTGAGTCGAGTTCATTACATTCACATCCGGTACATTCTGTAGAAAGACAGGCAGATAAGAACAATTTGAGATAGGTAGTGTTATAGTTGAACAACCTAACACACACCAACTGTGATTGGTCAGTCTAGAAGAGACGTGACTGGGAGAATAAGAGACGTGACGAACTATTGTAGTAGAAGCGGATGAAGGATGACTACGATCTCCGTGACGTATATCCCGTTTAACTTATTGTTATATTTACAAACTCTTACTCATTGTACTTTCCATACAATAAAACCTTGTTATTGTTTTACCCAATTCCAGTGTTAGTGTAATCTTTCCACTCGGGGTTACCTGGTTACTTATATCGTATTATCCACAATATAACAGATAGATAGATAGATAGATAGATAGATAGATAGATAGATAGATAGATATGAAGAGAGACAAGCAGGTATAAATAAGTTCAGATAGATAAAAACTGAGATAGATATCAACATTTCGGAACGGAGAGAGGCATGTAAGAACAGGTTCAGATAGATAGATAGATGAGATAGATAGATATAAACAGATATAAATATATATATATATATATATATATATATATATATATATATAGAGAGAGAGAGAGAGAGAGATAGATAGATAGATAGATAGATAGATAGATAGATAGATAGATAGATAGATAGAAAATTCGAGATATGACCATTCGAAAATAGAGAGACGGTCAGGTATGAATAGGTTCAAATAGATAAACAAAAGACTCAGACAGATAGATAGATAGATAGATAGATAGATAGATAGATAGATAGATAGATAGATAGATATGAAGAGAGAAAAGCAGGTATAAATAAGTTCAGATAGATAAAAACTGAGATAGATATCAACATTTCGGAACGGAGAGAG